TCCACTCATTTGTGGATGGCAAGGTGTCGAATGACGCAAGCAGGATTCACACAAACAAAGAAACACCTCTCCAAGGCATCTGCTATGAATTGTCGCTTGGAGTCACTGATGATCACTTGAGGCCGGTCGTGTCAGAGGATAATGTATTGCAGCAGGAATAGTGAGACATCGCCAGCAGCTGCGGAGGGAACGGGCGACACCTCGCAATCACATGTCCAGTAGTCAACACAAACTACTATCCAACAGTTGCCCTTAGCCGTTTTAGGGAAAGGACCCAGGAAGTCCATGCCCACTGGTTGGAAAGGTGCACATGATCACTTTAGTGAAGGCAATACAGTGTTTAAGGAGACGATCAATGTGGAGCGTTTAAGCAGGAATTTTGAAATATTTAAAAATATTTGTTGGAAGTGCTTGCCATCTGCCGGTAACTATTTGATGTAATTTGAGCAGGCAACTAAACTCGTTTTATGAAGAAATATGACATAACTAACAGTGATGAATAATCAGTTATGTTTTATTGCAACCGCTACAAAGTACAGAATAGCTCATTTAAACATTAGAAAAATATGAGTATCTTGGGGCAATATGTGTTTGTAACAACTGTATTCTAGCTGTATTCTACAACAACTGTATACTAGAGACAACAAAAAATTTCTATCCTGCCAAAGTTCTACTGTGACTACTGGCAACTGAGAACAATCAGGATGTGATCTCAGTTAAAGGGACTGACAACTGGCCAGAATGTGCGATTAGATTGTAGTAGAAATGAAAAGAGGATGAAATACAGTGATATATTCCAGTATTCTTTTTGCAATGTGACTAGGATTTATATTTTTAAATGATGCTTAAAATAATCAAAAACCATCTTATTGCGCAGCCTAGAGGAAGAGCCTTGAAAACACACTATGAAATATGGAGTTGATCCCTTTGCTGAACGTGGTCACGTAATCTGGTGCTGTTCTGCGTGCCATTCCTCAAAATTAGAGTACAGTGAACTCCCACTAAATGAAACTTGCTTAAACGAAAAAGGCGCATGAATGAAGCTATCTAGGCACATTTGGTTGGTCTCCTAAATATTTAATGATAAAAAGTTTCGGGTAATCGGAATATATTTTTTCGCTTACATCGGTTAAATGAAACTAAGTGGGCAAAATCCATGAACGGTGGAAGTGGCCATGACAGTCTAGCAACCATGAAACATATGCCGAAGCTACCTTAGTCAAGCCAATCAAGCGATTGCACATGTTCGCACACGCTGGGCACCAATTTATCCCTCTTGTTTCCATCTTTTTAAAGGCGATAGTCTTTCTTGGGGACCTTCGACGCGAAAATTTTGGTCTGTCTGTCTATTTGTCCATCCTCGAAGGTACTAGGCACTTTTAAACGACACTAGCGAATATACCCCAAACGATCGACCCCATCCGCAGCGCCCACCAATGTTGCTCAAGATTCAGCGTTCATACTTATGCGAATGTCAATTAAAATGCAATTGTCGCGCATATCTGAGGCATCACACAATACGTATATATTCTGTACGTGCATCTTTTACTAGAAAAGGCATAATACATAAGTTATTCTAAGGACCGTAGCGTTTATCACGCGGCGCTGACCATGCAACACTTGTACGAAAAGCGGAGTGTTTCCAACGCTTTGCTAAGATGACACAGTGGTGGCACCTACCCGTCGCCTTGCGTTCTACACCTTATCACCTCTGAGACGAGCGCGCACGCCCGCCTCAGAGCCACGCGTTTCGTAGCGCTCATGTCTCACCTGTGACGTGACTTGGTGTGCTCGTTTGCTTCCGCTGCAGCTCGAGGCACTCTAACGCAGCGCCTCCAGAGTACCATTCACCGATTTTCTTGCGCAGAACATCAAATAAACGTTTTCTCAATCTATCGTCTTTCGAGGACATTGCAGATGAACGTGCAGGTACGGGGCCAATTTTTTGTTTCCATCTCGTCGTGATCTTGAGATGGAAACAAGAAAACGGCAGCACAATGCACTTTTGCTCGCAACGAAAGTAAAAACCACTCAACAATTTGACCGCAACGATCTATCGAAGACAGAATTTGTGAAGAAGTTCAATATTCCCAAGTCCACACTGTTGAGGATACTCAAGAACAAAGGAAAAGTTGAAGAAGCTGCAAAGCTTGGGAACTTTGCCCCGGACAGATTGAGGATGAGAACGGCAGCGTACAAAGAAATCGAAGATGCTCTTTTTCTCTGATTCAAGTGTGCGCGCAGTGCGAACTTCTTGATCAGCGGCCCCATTTTCGAAAAGGCCAGAGAGATTGCTACTTGCATAGAGATCGAGTACTTGCGGGTGAGCAATGGCTGCCTGAGCCGTTTTAAAAAGTGGCATGGTCTTGTCTTCAAGACAGTTTCTGGAGAAAGTGCGGCTGTAAACAGAGATACAGTCGAGCCTACATATAACGGCCCCACTTAAAACGAACTATCGCTTAAAACGAACAATATGCGCATGACCGTGAAAATATACATTGGTTCAATGGCACAAAATCGCACTTACAACGAACATCTCCGAGTGCCGCCGATCGGTTAGAGCGAATGGGGTCGGCGTTCAGCCGACTTCTCAGGAAACCACTTTCGACCACTGATCAGGTATCGGCGAGGTGCCCATACATTCTTGTTATTAAACGCCGACTCTGCCTCCGCGCTCCTGTAGTTGCTGCTCTCCCAGACCACTTTTCTTACGCACCCCTCTGTGCTTTGTCCCCCCCACTACTCTGAGCACCCCGTATCGCCAGGCGAGGCCCGTGTTTTCACACTGATCTTTCAAAGACCGGTCGGCCATCTCCTTTGTTTTTGATCCCTGGTACTGTCGTTGGCATCACCGGCCTGGAGTGACCAGACAATTTGCCAACATCGTCGGCTACCGACTTGTATCCGATCGTCTGCGTCTAGTGCACGCGCATACGCTACCCCACCGACTCTAAAAATTCGCGATTTGTTTTGTGTTTAGGACCTGTTCTAGCTCACTTCACACTCGGCTCAGCATGCCCTCCACAAGCGTGCGGAAGCGTGAAAACGGCTGTTAGTTTGCGTGGAACGAATCACGAAATATCGAAGGCGGTGAGGCCACGCACACCCACCGGCGCAACAAAACGATTTTTTGACCACGACCGCAGATTCTTTGAACACCGCCGCGCGCACAGATCCAGACGGCCGTGCTTTGACTTCTGCGCGCGGAGGCACTTTTTCAAGTTTTTCTACGCGCGAGTTGTGCATTTCGCGGACTTTTCAAGCAAGCTACCTGACCCACCTCCTTCCTGCATGTTTTGGTTTTTAAGGTCACCCTCCCACTGTGTCCTCCCCCCTGTTCACTCTATCGCAACTCCTTACCCTTCTTCTTTCACCAATCTGCTCTACTCTTTTGATCACAACCCCTTCGCCCGTCTCCACCACTCTGCGACACCAGCCACGCTGGCTTGAGTTAGTTTCGTTTTCTGACTAGAAACGGGCCCAGAGCGGTTCTGCGCGTTCTGGCATGAGTGCTGCGTGTGCGCGTCTTGCTTTCTTGGTGAGCGTGTATTATCAGGATGGCAGACGGGAGAACTTGCACGCTTTTTCCTGCTGCTCAACAAAACCTCGAAAGTGTGACTGCTTGGCTTGAGCGTAATCCGTGCGTTAGATGCCGCGTTGCGGAGCGCTTGCTCATAGCTGTTCTGGCAGCCAACTTGCAGCTTCGGGCATCCCGGTATTCGGTTGTGAAGATAATGAACATTTCGTTGGCGGCGGTGACGACTACATGCGCGCGAAACTGTTTTCGCGAGGCCGACTTCGTCAACACCGGGCCCGATGCCGAGCCTGAAACTTACGAACGGGATCAGTTCAGCGGTGATTTTTGGCAGCGCGTCGTCGACTCCGACATGGGAGAATGGGTTGAACATCTGTTGCGATAGTTTCATTACGGCCGATGATGATGCCGACACCGCGGAACCGTGCATGGATTTAAGCATTGTGAATGAAGTACGTGGCGAGAGCGATTGGGAGGAATCGGATTGCGAGAACGATGATACTTTGGAGCCAGTGCCTCATGCAGCTTATGCCGCGGGCCTCGGCGATTGAGCACTCTGCCGTTTTAAATGAACTCGAGACCACCCTTATCGCTTCTCCTCTTCGAAACACGTGCATCACGGACTTTTTTGGGCAAAAAAAAAAGTTTGTGTTCTCAATCGCGACTTTTTTAAAAGCCTTGTTTCATTTACTACGAACTTCGGGATACAGCGAACGGATGCCGCGTCAGGCTCAGGTTAGTTATAAGCGGACTCGACTGTATCTGTAAGCAATATTGGCAACATTTTTTTTCTAATCAACAATTTAAGTAATGTATATTTAAAAACATTTTTGTTCAGTCAGCCACAGTTGGTGCTTTTGAAATAAAGTCATATTTTATTCATTTTGTAAGCCATGCTTAAATGAAACTCCTCAAAAATAGAACACATTTTCTCGCCCCTTCGAGTTCCGTTTAAGAGGAGTCCACTGTATGTATATTACTATCTAGCCCCACTCCATGCTGTGCTGCTTATGACGTACTAAAGTAATGGTGTAAAGCAGCATTACTGTTGCGACCACCAGTGGACCAAGTCGAGCCGTGGCGCATGTGCGCAGAGTGCACGCATGGGCAGTAAACCACCGCGCTTGAACACGAACCGCCCGTGCACTGTTTGCAGCACCTTGGCATGGAAGTAGCACTATGAGATTTCTGGACCACTATTTCAACAATCAATGTCGACTTAATATTTTCCTTTAGTGTCCCTTTAAGGGTGAAACCATATACAACGAACTACTGATATAACGACAACCTATTACGACACTTTTGAGTTCGTTATAAACAGGTTTGACTACCGTCCAGAGACAGTAAGACAGGAAAAAAAAAAAAAAGAAAGCACCATAGAGTGTGCAGCAGCGCCAAAAAACCCAACAGTGAAAAGGTTAAGATGTGTAAGAACATAGATGAAGGACTTAAAGCAGATGTTTACCTCACAGTCTAAGTTCGATGCCAAAACATCTCGAATAAAGGGTCCCAGGGTATCTTGAAGGTAGCCATCACCAAGAAGCTTCAAATAGGCCTCTGTTGCCTTCGTTGCCAAAGAGTTGCCACGGAAAGTGAGGTGCTGGTCTCCTATTAAAACGTGATGGACACAAAGGAAGCAGAGTGCCGTTAAAACTTTACTGCACAGACATGATTCTTTGAAGCGATTACCCAAAGCTAGGCCTTGATTATGAGAGAAAATGCTCAAGAAAGTTGGACCAGCAGAGTCAAGTTGTCGAGAGACAAGTAGAGAGAAAGTTGGAGAGTAGAGTCAAGTTGTCATGAGGTAAGTAGAGAGAAAGCTAGACAGTAGAGTTGAGCTGTTATGAGGTAAGTATAGAAAGAAGTTAGAAAGGAGTCGAGTTGTCATGAGGCAAGTAGAGAGATAGACATGAGAGTTGAGTATTTACGAGCTAGGTAAAGAAAAAGTTAAACAGCACAGTTAAGCTCTTAGAAGTTAAGAAGTGGGACAAAGCAAACTAACGGGCAAAGAAATCAAATGAATGACTAGACAAGACATGCAGATAGCATAAGCATGGAAAGAAAGGTAACTGAGCTTTAATATGCAACTAGTTTTTGTCACAGAGTGGTTTTGAGTTCTACGTACATGCAAAGCAGGACACATACACCGATTTCTGCTTATTTGCAATCTGCATATTGATTAAAAAAATGGGGAGTTAGCCAGCGAAACACTTGCCCACCAAAAAAACATGTCCGATAGTGAATAAATTTGTCAAGCTATTTTAAAGTTTTCAAGGAAAGCAATTCCAAGTCTTAAAGAGCCTTGAAAACATGTTTTTCAATCTCAAGGGTTTTTAAGGGTCTCAATAACCTGAACGCACCCTGCTTTGTTGAAGTTGGTGGCACTCCTCAGATGATGGAAATTTGTACATAACAGTTAGTACACTGTTAGACGGTGCTCCTGGCAGGTAACAAGGAAAGTGTACTAACACGCAATCAGAACAAATTCAAAAAAGGCTTGTGATGATTTCAACACTTGAACAGGCTAAAAAGTGTGGATTCAGTTTTGTCTTTTTTGGACAACTCAATTACTCAGACTTCTCAGTAATCAGAGAATCAGAAAAGAAAAAAAAATAGACATTAACTGTGTACCATTTTGTTATAATGAGGTACAACCTACCCAAGTCTTGTAGGTCAGCCATGACGAGTTGAGTCAGGAACTCCTGGGCCATTTCCTCTTTATGCATTATGCTCACAAGGCCTGTGGCTATTTCCTCCTGCAAAAGAATCGAAACACAACAGATTGCAGATGATTTTTACAAGAGACAATAAAAAGGATTGACTACTGTCAAAATCTACCTTAAGGCGCACTCCAAGTACAGGTTCCAGGAGTCTGCACAGGGGCCCGAAATCCCTCTTCAGGTACTGAAAGTCATAGAAGAGAAATAAAAATAGAAGCACTTGGTTAATGTTTCTGGTGCAGTCTCCACTACATAGCGAAAAAGCTGTTCCCAAGGAGATAGAACATAAGCAGGCTTACACAGGCTACAGCGCCATCAGGTTGCTAAGGATATCACAATAGAGCGAATTTTAGGCAAATGTTTATTATGTTCCTTGCGTTCATATCGTGCCACACTGAAATATGAGCACAAATTAATGGTTAAAAAAGGCTTTTATGTGTTTTTATAGTGTTTATAAATGCTTATTTTCAGCCTTTCATGCCTGAATGCATGTAATTGTCTATAAATGACTATTTTCCAAATTGGTACCTATATAAACACTATTAAACTTCAAATGTCACTGTAGAACGTTTTTTGAAACAGTTATTCATGTTACCAGGCGGTTACTAAAGGTCAGGTTACTGGCCTTTAGAAACACTATGGAGTTGAAACTAGCCCTCTAGTTCAACCAACTTCGGAGAAAACAGCTGCTAGCAGAAGTGAAATGAGATGCGCCAGCCACCTTACGCCAACGCGCTAACATGTTGCGAGCGGAAAAGATGCTATATGTGCAACCCTAGATGAGAGCATGGCTCAGCATTTGGTATGAAATAAGGAGATGGAAATAGAGATGGGAACAGAAAAGGAAAGCGGCGTCCATGGCATAAAACATGGCAGGTAGCTTCTGGTGCCGTTTTCTATTTCAGTGTCTTAAAAGAAGTGAACCAGATTGAAGACATGGGTGTGGCAGTGGGTGGGAAATAGGAGGTTTTTCTGTGCAGCTCCGATAAGGAGGCGACTGAATGCAAAACCGTGGAGTGCCGTAAGAAGAAGGGAGAGTGCAGATAAAATGTAGGAAAAATGTGATGTGCATGTGGCTTTGACTTAAAGCATTTCCTTTTAAAGCAATGCAGCAAAAAAGCTCTTTAAAGGGCCCTTCACCATGTCACATGTGAAACTGTAGTTAGACAACGGAGGCTGTTGTGTGCTCAATGAACAGCATTGGACTACAATAATATTTCAAGTTGGTTCATCACAAGCTGTGAAACCATGATACGAGGAGGCATCATGCGCACGCAAGGTCTTGGCAACACTGCTTGCATGCACGACTTAGCTCAGGTACGTCACGTGCACATGATGTGCCTGAGCCAGGTTGTGCACGCAAACAGTGTTGTGTTTCAGCGTTCTTTGTATTGTACAGTTCGTTTCTGTGGAGTAGCATGCGCGCACATTTGGAGAGAGGCAGGTACGAATCAGGTATCCATACCGCGATATACAGCGTTGCACAGCTGGAACCACTGTTAGGGAAAATCATGGTGGTGTGGGGATGACTCACCAAAAACATTATGGCTGGTGCCGGTGCAACGATGAAAACACAAACAGATACAAAATAAACACAGATTAGTCTCGCATACCGCTGCTGATCAGAAGTAAAAAAGAAAATGTAAAACACACATACATTCTGCTTGTGCGCAATTATTTCCCTAAAATTTCATTAATCTATTCAAGCAACAGATAATACAAATTACACATGCTGTCTCGAATAATCGTCCCAGTTCCACACACTACCCTAAGCGATGTCAGAGCACCATTGTTGACGTAGAAGAGCAACGCCAGAGCTCAGATAAGTATAAGGACTATTCCTTGTTGTAGTATGTCAACCCCTCCATCTTGGCTCGCACATCTTCGAGAAGGGTGGTGTTCATACTAAAATTTCATATCTTTCCATAGGGTGTAACGTTGCAAATCATGGCAGACATGATCGAGAGCACTCAATCCATGCTAAATACATGTCAACTTAAAATTCTCAGATCTGGTGAGGGGCCCATTGACAGAGAAACAACTAACCCTACGCGATTAGACCCAGTCAATGGGAGGTGTCCCTCCCTCCTGTTCTTTTAGCGGTCTATCAGCTTCTTTGCATGCCAAAAATGAAGAGATCCAGGGGTGTGTTGATTTCATGGAAGACACTTGACTCACTATGATACACAATAAAAGGAGAGACACTGTTCTACGAAACGCACGAGAAAAAGGACAATTGCATTGCCATGTTCAAACGGTGGCGCCTTTGTGTCATCATAAACATTTTGTTTTTGCTTTTCTGTCGTAAATACACATCACGTAAGTCTTTCTTTAATATACGGTATTTACTCTAGTAATGAACGGACTTTTTTCTCGAAAAATCGGAGCAAAGTTGGGGGGTGCGTTTATTACGTGGGGTAAATTTTATTAAAATTTTTTCAGAAGGGGCAAATAGGCCAATTGACATGTGCGTACACTGTTTGGAAACAGCTCCTTTATTGCACTTTGCTCATCTTCAGTGGTTGATGGCGCTATCCTCAGCAAGCTGTTCCCGGGCCGCTCGCGCACACCATAAAAGCGTTTTGTGGCTATCTTTTCTCGCAATCGTTCAACCGCAACAGTGGTATCAGCTGTGATCTCGTGGGGCGCACAAAAGCGTGCGCTACGGCGCACATTGAAAACTTCATGGCAACCTTGCACGACGACCGTGACGACGCCGTTAACATTGTAGCAAGTAACCAATATTGCAGCAAGCTACCCCAAACATCAAAACAAACCTTCAATAACAAGATTAACAACAAAATACGGCCACCGCCTCGCTTCTACACGAGAAGTTCCTGTATGCGCGGATACAAGTGAAGCGAGGATCGGAGGTGCTACTATGTTGCGGAAACTGTCACGATTTTTGCGGAAATCGTCACGATAAGCAATTTTCTTCTGGTTTTCCAGAAACCTGCAACATGATATTCATGAATGACCTTTAGCGACAGCAAATCCTGTCCTCGCTCGAAAATCGCATGCATATGATTGGCCTTTTTCGTATTCACAGGAAGTGACCGTCAGTTGGCGCGGACAGTTGTCGCGACCTTTGCTCCCTGTGTGCTTATCAGCTGCAATTTCTCTACACTCGCACCATTTATGAATCTCGCTGTAGCGCACAGATGAAAAATACAGGAGACGTGCCTCGCACAGATAGAAAGAAAAACATAAAAGCATATCCACGGGGTTCAAGCTCGTACTGCAGGGTCCTTGCGCAGCTTCTGCCTTCTCAACTTGTACTGCTGGGTCCTCGCAGCACTGCAGCGCGGAATCAGGGCTAGCTTCGACCTCTCGGCTCGTCCTGATGGGTACTTGTGGCGCTGCTGCGCAGAATCACGGCTAGCTGTGGTGTCTTGCGCCCGCACGGCGGGAGTCATTCTTGGAGCATGAGCCACTGCGCTCTATGCGCACGCCGCTCAGCCGCTTTGTTCATCCTTCGTCAATGAGCACTTGTTGGCACGCGCGCGCGCCCATGCCAGAACGACGCCGCCGAAGAACACGCAATAGAAACGCAATAGCAGTGGCGGGATCATCTTTCTCTCCTTCCTGTTTTCATAAAGGTCACCTTTTATTATTATCTTTTACTACAAAGCGCCCTTTATTATGGGGCGATTTTCCATTTCTCAGCGTATATGCATTCATTCGATAGTACAGGGAGTGCCATCTATGGCCGGATACGTGCGAGGTAAATCCTGCTTTGATAAAACTCGCCTTTTATTATTATCTTTTGTTACAAAACGCCCTCTAGTGTGGGATGATTTTGCATTTCTCAGCGTATATGCATTCGCTCTATAGTACAAGGAGTGGCATCTGTGGCCAGATTGGAGACTCAACGAGCGCTGGTTACTATGATAACGGGACGATAGGGTGAAACCATAAGGAGCTTTGCCCCTAAAACAATACGACACGCGACAACGGGCAATGCGGGTGGAGGGAGTGAGCTGAGGTGGCCGAGAAGGGTCAGAAAATAAGAAAAAAAAAACAACAAAGAAACAGAGATCTAATGGATGAGGAGGCGCATGGTGTTGGTTAGCGAGACTGCAGCGGATGAATGTAGTAGGTGCGTTTATTATGCGGGAAAAAAAATCAAAATTTTGAAGACTGAAGTTGGCGGTGCATTTATTCTGTGGGTGCGTTCATTATGCCAGTAAATATGGTATTTCGAATTTATGCAAAAATTTACTGTGCCTATACAGTATAACCTCATTACAACAGACCTCCATAGTGAAGAGGATTCTGAAAATTGTAAAAGGAGTACGTAAAATCGAAGTAGAGTGATATATCGTTAACTCGAACTTGCATATCTCGAAAAATCGGCTAAGTCGAAATTTTCCGTGGCACCGAACATTTTCCTATCCATCCCATGTATACTTTTCCCTTTATCTCGAAGTATTTTTGTGTTGGATTGCAGGTAACTCGAAATCTTGACTGGGAGTGGACCGAGAATGACGCCTTCGGACGATTTCACAAGATTTGCGCGATGCTGCAACGCCTGAAGACTGTAGATATCTTTTTTTTCTTATTTAGCCACGCCTGCCACTACGTCGATGCTTTCCGCAAACGCTAAGTGCACGATGTTTCAGCCCTGAGACATATCATCTTTGTCAAGCAACCCTGTGGCACTTCATGTGACACATGCACTGAGCAGTGAGGCCCTCTGCCCCCGCTTGGTGTAGTTTGTCTCGTTCACTTTGTGCAGTGCACATGATTTTCCCCGAGGTGTAATTTCCGTTCCTCTGCGCAAACCACACGGTATGGATTTTTCGCTGACTGTGAGTGCTGTGCTCGTGATTTTCTTAGCGCGAGTGCGGCAAGCATGGCGTCAAAACAGTTTAATTCACTTACGCTAGAAAAAAAGGTTGCCCTAATTAACCAAGTGGAGAAATGAGGCCGTACAAAATCAAGCATCGCAAAATAATTCAGCATGCTTTTGTCTACGCTTTTGACAGTGGTGAAAAACAAGCAGCAGGTGCTGAATGAATTTCAGCAGAGCTTCTCCCTTCAGTGGCAGCTGACGGGAGAAGCTGGTTTGAGGGTCAAAGTTCCCAGACATTGAAGCGGCTGTGATGGTATGGCTGCGAAATGCCAGAGCAGCTAACCTTCCCCTCACCACAGCAATAATGATGGAGAAGGCAGACGCTCTGGCCTTGCAAATGGGGCACACGGACTTCAGTTGCAGCAGAGGCTGGTTTGACCGCTTCAAAAAAAAAAAAAAAAAAAAAAAGGAACAGTGTGGTGTTTAAGTCAGTTCACGGCGAGAGCGGCACTGTCGATGCAGCCGCTGTAGACAATTGGCGCAGCAGCCGGCTCGCCGAGTTGCGGGAGAGTTACACCCACAACAACATTTTCAACCTTGACGAGGAAGCACTTCATTATAAAATGTTGCCGAGCCGCCACACCTTCACACCAATGGTGAAGAGTGCTTGGGAGTGAAACAATAGAACAACAGAGTCACTGTCCTTTTCGGGGCAAATGCGACAGGTGAAGAGAAGCTGCCATTACTCATAATTGGCAAAGCTCTTAAACCTTCGTGCTTTAGAAATGCATGACTGCCGAATGACGAATAGAGCAACGTGGATGACTGCTATTCTTTTTGAACAGTACGCTCGTGCAATAGATAACGAGATGGCCAAGAAAAACAGAAAAGTCCTGCTCATTGCTGACAACTGCCCAGGCCACGGCAAAATAGAAAATATGGAGGCAGTGACAGTTGAGTTTCTGCCTGCAAATATGACATCTGTGCTGCTGTCGATGGACCAAGGTGTCATTAAAGTGGCCTGAAAAATCTACCCAAAGGACCTTCTCCACAGAATTTTGTTGTCTTATGAAAACGGGAAAAGGCTACAAAATTGACCTACTGGGAGCAGTGCACCGTCTCAGCAGCACTTGACAGGAAGTTTGCGCAGCGGCTATCGCCAACTGCTTTACGCATGCTGGGCTTTTACATGTCGCCAGTTTGCCAGAAGCGGAGACGACAGAGACAGATGACTTACCGACTGTGAGAAACTTTGTCAAGAGGTCATTTCGTTTACAGGTAACGGTGTTGCCGAAAATGACGCGACTTTTCTGGAGTACGCGCTGTGTACCCAGAAAGGTCCCCAGAAAGGTGCAAAGTAAAAAACACACTTGGGCACGTCTTATTTTCTTGGTATTCCTGGCATTGCTCGGAAAATCGTGTAGTCAACTCGGCCTTTTTTCCCCACTTAAACTGATGTTTCAGAGCAGTTCGGCACAGTTTTTACGAGTTTTATGCTTTTGAAGCAGCTTGGCGCAAGAAAGTGGAAACGTACAAAAAATGCGCAATGCGCAGCTGTATCACTCCTGAAAAATAAGCATTTATGCGAATTGCTCCTTTCTCCTAGAAAAAGACATTCTGTTGCAAAATTACTTCGAAATCAAACACACCATGCAAGGTTCAAGGCCAAAGTGCGCTCATGAAAATAGCACACAAATTTTAAATAAATGCTATGTCACTGCCTTTTTGTAGAGCTCAGCACATTTAGAATTTTACAACTATGATAAGAAGCAGGAAGTGTATGGTACCTGAAGGAAAGGCTGATAGGAAGCCAAGGGCTGCACTTCCAGAGACTGGTAGCGCCATTTGAGTCGCACTGAGGGAGGCGTGCTCTCCTTTGCTCCAGGTGTTGGCGGCCCCTTCAATTCGGGCACCAAAGGGTACCACTTTTCAGTTACATGGTGTGCCCGGGCAGGCACAAGAGGAACAGTCACCATTCCGAGTGCTGTGCTCTTGTCACGTCGCTTGCGCCTGTCAGCCTCTCGAAACACAGTCACCGTCAAGGTATTCACAGCAGGAAGGTGGCTGTGGTGAAACAGACGTTCCTCATTACTAATAGTGATACAAGTCTACCACTTGAATGAATAAAGTCATTACTTTCACTGATAAATGACTTCGACTGCAGCACATCAAAACTTCAGAAATTGCTTATCTTACATAACAAAGTATTGAACTAATAAAGTAAAAAAAGAAAAAGATGGAGCCCGTTTGGTTTGCTGATTTCACTGGGCAATTTTGAATATTTGAAACCCAAACTCAAATGTACACATGACTGTTTTAAACATTTTTAAACAAATTAGTGGTCCGACTTTTATGGAGCGCCTGATAAAAATTATATGCTTAAAACAGCCACATGCACTCTCTCACGTAATCTGCTATTCACAAGACTGCCAGAGATGTTTGTTCCTTCACATGTTGTGATTACCTAAGGACAAGTCATTCAACTTTAGCAAGTTGCTCTTCAGTTCAACATACAGTTCCTTACTTCAATACAGACACTAATAATTTGGATATACCTTATTATTCGGAAAGCTCCACATCACTGCCACTGGCCCCACGGAGTTAATGTATAAGGATAACTGAAATGTTACATAAAATACTCCGCAATGTGCGATAACTTGGGACTTAAGCTTTGCCACAGTGCACTAATTTACCCAGAGTCAAACGGAAATAGCAACAATTCAGAATCCTATAAAAACAAACTACCAAACCAATCGTCTAGCAACTGCCAACAGCAACCATGTTTTGGAATAAGCCATACTGCTGAGCCTCAAATGCTGCATTTGAGCAATTTTTCGCAAGAGTGTCATGTACTAAGCAGTATTAAGAAGCAACACAAAGTTCTTTAAGCAGATTCATGAATCGCCTACTGTAAACTGAATAACTTTTGTGAAAAGTAAGTGACCATTCAGCGACAGCACGGCAATGGTCAAGATATAGGCTACAATTTTGTACTGATGCTTTCTGCTCAATTTGGCACCTCTATTATCCAATATTTGCTGCGGACAGATCCAGTTATGGATCAGGCGGAGCACCACACTAACCACTAACAAAGTGTAAAAAATTTACATGAAAATAAAGAGCAGTGATGCCACAGAGATGCCACTGATTTGGAGCAATTTTCGTAGCAGCAAAATTTTCATTTTAGAGCACTTTGGAGCAGCAAGATTTTTCATTTGGAGCACTTTGGATCAGCAAGATGTTCTATAGTGGAGCAATCTAAAGCAGCTAACTTCAAATCCTGGAGAAGAAGCAAGTTGCATCTACATTCAAAGACATAAAAAATTATTCTGAGGCTCTTGTCAAGAGCTAGAAATATTTATATTTATTGCAAATTTCATGGAGCAAATCATCTTAGAAGCACTCCCTATTTCAGTTGATGATGTAAGAATAATGATGTCAGGCTGTTGATCATTCTGGAAAAACTTGTTCAGCGATTATTTCCGTAGCATATATAAACAGAATACTAGTTGAATAAGAATGTACTTCATGAAATAAAAATATAAATACACCTATGTGGTTATCAGCAGGTATGGTACACAAATTTGATATACAATGCTAGAGACTCGCACAGTCCCAATTGCATTTCACTAAAATGACTTCAAGAATAAAAAAAAGGTTCTTTTTCTTCCAGACTGACTAGACTGCTGGGCATAACATAACATGATTTAGCTAGTCTCAAAAAGCCAACCTCCTCCGGCACTCATCTCTGTGCTGAAACTACTACACAATTTAAGAAACTGCGTTTACCTTTGACAGCAATATTTTATGTGGCTAGGGCGTTCTGTCTATATGTGATATTGTTTAGGAAATATGTGACATAGTTTAGAAATATGTGACATAGTTTAGGAAAGCTTTGCTCTACAAAAGGCACATGAAATATTTTATATTATTGAAGTGTCCCTCATTAATTCATATAGCAAATTAGACAGTAGAAGTTGTTGCATGCCCAATGAAAACCAATATCCCATATGAGTTTATCAAATTGCTACGTGCTAAGTGATATTTTGCAGCACCACAAAAGCATGCATGCCGGCAAGCTTGATAGGGCCAAGAGCCCTATCAAGTCTTCGCAAGACAAATTCCTTCCCTGCCCTTTTTTGTATTGGAGCTGGAAGATGATGACATGACGCAGATGCATCAGCAGTTCATTGACACGACATTACTGAGCATGCTAACAGTGTTGTGTTGTTTCGTTGTTGTGACGTGTGTGAGTGTTGTAGCACTGCTTCATATTTTTTTTTTAAGGCACATATACGGTATACTGCCTGCTTCTGTGGTATGGCAGAGTGCGCACATTTGGAGAGGCTGGCCTGAATCATGCATCCTTGGCGTGACCTACCGCATCGATGATTGATACGTGGGGTTTAATAACTCAAAACCACCATATGATTATGAGAGATGCCATAGTGGAGGGCTCCAGAAATTTAGACCACCTGGGGTTCTTTAACGTGCACCCAAATCTGGAAATTCAGCCGCCATAGCCGGGATTCGATCCCGCGACCTGCGGGTCAGCAGCAAAGTACCTTAGCCAGTAGACCACCGCTGCGGGGCGTGACATACGGCATCACACAGCTGGAACTCCTGTCAGGGACAATGCACCTAACTAACAGTATTGGCAGTCTTAAGCAAGACAAGCTGCTTCAAAGCAAAACTGCGATTAGAAACAGTACAATTTCAGAAATAACATTGCATCCATTGTCGATATTGCAGTTGCTGGTACAATCACACTGAAGATCCTGTACTCGAACAGTGGGCCCATGAGCGTCTACAGCAGAAGGTGTTTCTGGCGCTTTGCGACGAGAGTGCCATACCATGATAAAATTACCAGTGTAAAACTTCACCAGGCTAACAGTTGCGTTAACATCTATTACGTGGTTAACAGCATGATTTTAACTGTGCAAAAAAAGCATTCTTGACCACCACAGGTATAGAGAGCATTTCTGTTTCTTGGAATTACAGATGTCAGACGTCTGCTCCCAACCAGTCATGACCAATATTTCTGCCACCATGTGATGCTGTTTGACATTAATGCTGACCTTGTAGGCACTAAAATTTAGAAAATGGTTGGTTGCTGTTACCTATAGGATTTCCAATCATGCAGCTCTCGCTTGATCATGCCACCTCCCCCCCTTCTTTTCTTAAAATAAAACCAACTGCTACAATAACTGCTTTTTATGCTCCTTCAAAATACACAATACTCTACTTTCCAAAAATGCACACATTACTACACGTTGCATGTGGACTTGAACCACTGGCATATTAGTGTTACATTAGCAGATGAAGCAACGTGATTTGCACAAGAACTCAACATTGATTCTAGGTATTCATTCTTTAAAGGGCCAGTAGGAGATTCGCTCGCAGGATTTCAAGCTGGACGGTTGTGCCCTCGCGATCTCCGACTTCAGCGTAGCTCCCGCCGACTGGTTCGCCCTCCGCGGTCTCCTGATGCCGTGTAGCTCTCGCATTGTGGCACCCCGCCCTTGGACTGCTTCGACCGGATCCCCACTTTCCTATCTCCTTCTTTTTCCTCTCGTTGGCTGTCTTCTTCTGCTTCTACTTTCCTTCTATTCTTTTTATCCCTCCTTCCCCCCACCCCTATAAGGCACTGCGCCGCGTCCCCCCCTTCCTTTGCTCGCTCTCTCCTTTCTCTTTCCTCTCTTCGCTCAAGTCTATTATCCCCCATTCCCCTTCCCATGTGAACCACTGCTGAGGTGTCGCACTTAGCTGCAGACAGTTGCGGGGTTCACTTCTCTTTTCTTTTCCAATTTTTTTAAGAACCACTTCCCCCCCCTAAAGGGCCAGTAAACAGTCGCGAGGTCCAAAAATTTTTAAAAAGAGATATATGTGCCGTTTTTCTTTGCGAACATGCTGCCGCAAGAATTTTGCGAATACGGGCTATATTAAGGAAGTTACAGGGGCTAGAACATCGGTCTAAGCTGGTTTCAAATTTTCACGCAGCCTCACCCCTATTCTCCCTTCCAGGAAGGGGAAGGCATAGCCCATCGTCGTGACTCCGCCAACTTCAGCAACGTGACACCACGTCAGCGATTGACGTCATCGGCAAACTCGATCAGTCGCAACCCACTTCCGCTTGCTGCGAAGCATGGTTGTTTGTTTACCGTTTGCCGCACCAGCCGCGGGTCAACCGCGTGTCAGGTGCGAAGTGCCGACTATAAACGATCAGGTCCCCGACATACGCCGCTGGATGGCCGATTCGCTTCAGCCATGCAGCGCGCAGGGCCCCATCGTGAGGCACCCGTTGCCGATGCTTCTCTGCTGCCCAGTCGCTCGATTTGCAGCCGACGACATAGAAACGCTTTTTACCCATGTTGCTCATGTCAAGGGTGAGGTACGTTCGTTCGTACGTGCACACAGGCGCTGTAGTTGAGCGAGTAGTGTACACGTGCACGCGACAACTGAGAGGCTGGTTTTTTCACTGCAGTGTCAAGAAACAAAGGGAAGTTTCATAGCTGTGGGTGGGAGCAGGAACTGACGTTGACTTCACTACTGTTTTTTCACGCATGATTTAGACCAATCGGGGAGCTGCGTGCTACGTCACGTCGCTGATTGCGAAGTTGACGTTACTGCACGTGCAAGAGGGTCGGTAAAGCGTAGGAAAGTTGCAAGGGAATTGTTTTTCGAAATAGAGGCTCTGCGCGGCACGCAGCGCTGTAATGTTCAGAAAACGTGATCGCTGTAGTCTAATCTACGAATTGGGGGTGTAAAAAAAAAAGTCCGAGCCGGTTTACTGGCCTCTTAAGTGCTGCATTAATAAGTATATCAAAGCTTCGGGTAGCTTTCGATTAGAACTATATCAAAACACTCAAAAATAACATGAGCACTGACTGTTAGCATGAAAATACATGTTGGATGCACTTGCAAAACCAACACTGAAACCACCTGCAAACGGACTGCTTGACATACCGTATTTACTCGCATAATCCTCACACTTTTTTCGGCAGAAAACCGATGCAAAGTTGGGGGGTGCGAGAATTACGCGGGAAAAACTTTTCACAAAAACG